GTAACTCCACCGTTGTCTGGATGGATGTGCCACAGCTCGCGGGAGTTACTGTGGTGCGGCACCACAGTAACTCCACTGTTGTCTGGATGGATGTGCCACAGCTAGGAAATCAAAGTCATGGCGCCACATACAGGGGTGACATTTCGCTGGACATCCATCCAGGCAAAAACAAAATGGGTCCCATGAGAGAGGCCTGTTCTGCCCAGACGGATGTCCAGCGAGGAGGCCTGTTTTCCCCTGATGGATGTCCAGCGAAACGTTATGCGGCACCGTGGCACATCCATCCAGACAAAGTGGGTTGCATGAGAGGCCAGTTTTGCCCGGATGGATGTCTGACGCCGCCGAGGCTGGGAAACGTACTGGTGATTTGATTGTGTTGGGATGATGCCTACACCGTTTGTCTCTCTGCCTTTTGCCTCACTGTCTTTTGTCTCCCTGCCGTCCGTGTGCCTTGCATTGTTTCCTTACAGCCTTCATCCTTTGCTGCCTTTCGCCTTCGCTTTGTGCCTTGCCTTGCTGCTTGTAGTGCCGCCCTGCTGTTAGCCTTGTTGGTTGTGTGCCCACCTGCCTCCCCCATGCCGTCTGGCGTATCTACCTTGCTACTGACTAGATGTCTTCCAGAGCCTTGTTGCTTTGCCCTGCTGTTTGCCTTGTTGTTTGTGTGTTTCTGTGCCCACACGCCTCCCCCCATGCCGTCTAGCCTATCTGCCTTGCTGCCAGATGTCGTGCAGCGCCTTGTTGCCTCACCCTTGCCTCGCTGTTGCTGATCCTGCAATGCCACCGGCTGGTTGTCTTCTTACAAGAGCGGTTATTAAAGGTGTTCATGAATGGAATCATCAAAATGAATTTGAATTGAATATGGGATTCCGCAGAGTGTCCATAAGTCAAAAAAGAAAAAAGAAAAAAGAAAAAAAAGAAAGAGGATTCCGCAAGAGTGTCAGGGTTCAGCCTCCTGATGAGTGGGTGCAAGTCCTAAGGAAGTCCGTCACCAATGAATCACCATCCATTTTTGTTTGTTCTTTCTTTTCAGTTTTGCACTTGTACTTCTCTTGTCCTTTGTTCTTCCTTGCTCTGTAGCCTTTGCATACTTGCATTCTTCCTTGGGGCGTACCTCGCTGCAGGCTTTTTGCCCCAATGTCTTTTATTTGACGAACTTTTCAATGCAACATGCCGCAATGCTATGGTGGAGGTCTTCCCCCCTCAGACACACACAACATGCTTCAATGCTATGGTGGAGGTCTTCCCCCCCAAGACACGTGCAACATGCCGCAATGCTATGGTGGAGGTCTTTCCCCCCAAGACACACACAGAGAGGCATGTTGCCTTGGATATTCGTCCGCATTATGCCAGTTGAAACAGTGCTGGGGCACAACAGGCCGCAATGCAATTGTGGAGGTCTTCCCCCCCCTCCAAACACACACAAAAAGTCGTGCCGCCTTGGATATTTGTCCGTACCATGCAGCCATTTGAAACAATGCTGCACCATTGGCGATACACTGCTTGCATTGTGCGGACGACACAATGAGTGGATTGGATCTGGTGGTGCTTCCAGCCTTCCAAAGACCACAGCCGATTGGGCCTAGCCTAATCCGAGTCTGTCGACATGGGCACTCGCCGAAGGCAATACACCGCTTCTCCATTCGTTTTTCTACGCAACCCTAGCTGTGACAGTGACCTCTGCCCTTCGCTCCCATCTTTTGCGCCAGTGAGTAATCAGGATCTAATCGGGCCCCTCCCCCCTTTTCCATTTCTTCTCTCCCCTTGTATTCTTGCTTTCTACCCTTCCCCCTCCTTTCCTCTCCTCCTGCCGCCCGGTTCAGGACTTCTCTTTTTAAAAAATTTGGACATTTTCTCGATTTATGCGTGTCATCCTTGAATGCTCAGGGACCATGCTAACCTTTTTTTTTCTCTATCGTTCCAATTTTAACGGATGTCCCGAAGGACCTTGTTCAGGACTTCTAAATGCAAACAAATGGGCATCAGCAAGAGAACAGACAAAATGGAGGGTGCACGTGCCAAACTGCAGACCGGGAGGCTAGGTACTTAGCGCCTTTTTTATCGTTTCAAATACTTAGCGCCCAACAACACAACCATGATAGCTGGCCTTGCCCCAGTCAAATTTGGAGCGCTGTAGTCCCCGTTTCACCAAGAAATGCACAATGATGATTGATCTCAAAATATCCACATTGAAACATTGTCACAATTACAAAAAAGAAAAAAAGAAAAACCAATCTCCCTACTTATGGCTGGAAATGGAGTCACTACTACTCACTAGTATACAACTTAACCACGACGATTGTCCAAAACATGAGACTCAGTGGTAAATGGGTTGCTGCAGTGATTTTGTCGCACAAAGTCGAAGAAGAAGACAGACAGAAAGGACGGCGGGTGGACAGATGAACACAGAGACAGATCACATGGACAGAAGGGCTGATAGACAGACAGGCTGATAGACGGACAGGCTGAGATGCCGGCGTCCGGGTGGGTGGGCGTCCAGAACAGATTGAGGAGCAGAGAGAGAGAGAGAGAGAGAGAGAGAGAGAGAGAGAGAGAGAGAGAGAGAGAGAGAGAGAGAGAGAGAGAGAGAGTCTAGAAGGGGGTGGATACTAATGACAATGAAGACACAGTGAGAACCAAATGGTTGTTGATGTGCTGGGAGTAATGAATCAGCATCAAGCTGACATGTCTGTCTCTGAAACAGGTGCTGGCTGTTGTCGAAGGTTGCGACTTATCTTCATGGAGGGAGGTAGCATTCTTCAAGAGGTCACCCGATTACAGAAGGACATTGACGCACTAGATGTGCAACTTGAGGATGAAATCCGGAAGACGAAGTTGGTCGAGGCATCACTCGTCCTTGCTGAAGAACAGGTTTGCCGACAGGAGGAGGATATTGTTAAGCATGTGAAGCTTCTAGCCCGGGCTGAGAGCGAGTGTAATGACCAGACCACCGTTCTCCTGCTTCGGCAGGAGGAGATCGCACGTCTGGAACAGAAGAATAGAATGAAGGAACAAGAATTGAGTGAGCTGCGTGCGGCACTAGATCAAGAGCGGAGAAGCTTTGTCGATGCCTGCTGTCAATTCACGAAAAGCCAGGAGGACAATGGCGTGGGGGAAGCAATCAGGGTGCTTCAGGAGTGTCACGCAACAATCATCGCTGAGGAGAGGAATTTGACGGAAACACTGAGGAACACAGAGAGGGAAAAAGCAATTGTCGATGAGAAAGTAAAGGCTATGCGAAAGGAGGGCGAGTCCATGAGGGAAAGGAGGCAGCAGCTTGCTGACCACATTGCCTGCCAACGCAAAAAGAACGAGGAGCTTCAGCGCAAAATCAACGAGTTGAAGAAGCAAGAAGAGGAGAATGGCAAAGAAGAGCAGCAGCTGATCACGATGGCTCTTGCCCTGGACCTAATGAACGAGGAGGAAGACGAGCTGCAGATTTCCAAGGACAGGTTGTGTGCGCAGCTGTCAGGCATTCAAAAGGAGATAGAGGATCTGGGGAGACGCATAGCTTCGCAAAAAGAGGAAATCCGCAAAGTCGACACTCAGATTGAAGAGCATTTGACCCGTCTCTCGGAAGATTTATGAAATGTGGGCTACAGGGTGAAGCGGACAGAATCGACCGAGACTGCGTTTTGAATTAAACTTGAGTGTTTTTTTTTTTTGTTTTGTTTTTCCGTTTCACAATTAAATTTTGTACTTGGTTGACCTGAAGAGGTCATTTGGCCTTTTTTCAGGTAATAAGGGCCACTTTTTTGGGACGAGTGGTAGTCCCATTGGTGATCGCTCATCCCCCCCCCAAAAAAAAGACCCTTACCGGACAGGCCAAATGCTCTCTTCAGGTCACTCAAACACAAATGATTGCGAAACGGGGAAAAAAACTCAGTTTTAACGAAAACGCAGGTACTGGGGCTGAGCGACAAGTATGCGTACTGGAGTTTCCACCGACAATCGCACGCACAAATGACCCATGATACGGAGGTATTGGAGTTGCTGCCGACAATCGCACACACAGAAGACCCATGATACAGAGGGGGACCGGCCTGAGGGTTACGGTCACCATTTGTACGAGCTGTGAGGGATTTGGGTGAGGTATTGGTGGGACACTGGGTGGGACCGTTGACTGCCAGAAAGGTAGCGGCAGCTGCGGAGAGTCGGAGACCCATAAGTAAGTTCCATTACGGAGGGAACCAGCAGAGTGTGGGAACCCCATTACGTACGGACCCAGAGGATGGGACCCCCATTACGTACGGAACCAGAGGATGGGACCCCCATTTCAATGTACGTACTACTAGTAGGGACTCGGGTGTGGTGGTTGTTCCCACAATGGATTGCCTGAGAGATGGTAGCCAGGAGATAACTTGACGTTGGAGCGTCTCCATAATTTCAAGACGCTGCCAGGTAGTTTGGTGTGGAAGCAGGATGCCTGACTGCAAGAGGGACAGCTTTCGCTGATTGCTTTGTGCGGACCAATATCGCCTGGGGGGACCGCGACACAGAGAGGACTCGGTTTAGCAGCTGTGGGGACATACAGAGGATATTATTATCACGATTTCAAGAAGCTGGACCAGATTTTGGTGCATGGGAGGTGGTGATGGTTGACTTCCAGAAAGTGCAATCTTTTTTTTTTTTTTTTTTTTTTTTTGCAATCTTACATGAGAATCTTCGAAAAGGCAAAAAGACGATGGACAAATTGCAAAGGGTTGAATTTGGGAAAAAAAGAAAAAAGAAAAAAGAAGTGCGTCGCACAGTGCCACAGACCCCTTCAGAGTTAACATCCAATCTAACGGTTACGGAAGAAGAATGGTCCTCGTGGTGGCCGCCGTGACGACATTCCGTTGTAAAAAAAAGAAAAAAGGAAAAAAAAAAGAAAAGAAAAAGGAAGAAAGATGAAAAGAATGGTCCACATGGGCTGTTGATTTGGAGACTGGGTGCAGCAATCTGCATGGGGATCACTCTGCATGTATTCAAAGAATCTGTTTTTTTTTTTTTTTTTTTTTTTTTGGCAAAGCTGTTTCTCTACAGAGAAATCAGCAACGAAGTGCCCCGGACACTATGTAGAACGCCCCGTAATTATGGCTGTATCTAGTGCGAGGAATGAGCCCTCGCAGGGCCCTTATCAGACATGCACACGTTCTGGGCTGAGGCCCTCAGCAAGCCCCGTGCCCGCCCTAAGCGAAGGCGGGCCTGAATATTCACCAGAGGCCAAAATTTGACATTTTCCATATGTGGGTACTCGGGCAGTTGCAGCACGTCAGTTGGTTGAGAGGAAGCGTGAGCCTCCCTGTGCTGCGTCGTACAGTTGGGCCCAGGGCTTGGTGGTTGCGCCTGAGCACACACACACAATGCAAGGCACATACATCACGAATTGGCTACGGGCCTGCGAAAAGCAGGATTGTTGACATACATACCTGGGGTCCTGTGTAAGTGCAGCAAACGTCCCAAGTCTGGAAATACTGGCCGTGCCCAACTGTAAAGGGCCCAGGCCCTCAACTGCATAGCGGGGCCTGGGCGCAGGCACTGGGGCCCGACCGGAAGCTACTGGAAGCTTCCCAGCCAGGCCACACGCAGCCAAACAGAAGCTGCCACTTTCATATAGGGAAGGAGGCAGCCAGAGCCAGGTATTCTGGCCCACGCAGGTATTGCGGTCACGCTGCTGCGTTGCTGCGCGATAGGCTGCGTGCTGCGTTAGCCGGCCAGGGCACGTGCGGGCACTTGTGAGGTGAGAGGGGCGCTACTGGGCAGCGGAGCGCAGGCAGCCATAGCCGGGCTGCAGGGCGCTGGGGGGGTAAGAGGGCGATCGGTGGTCTTCAGGAAGGAGGCGAGTTTGGGTGGTCAGGGTCTGATGAGGAGAGACGAGATACAGACCTGGTGCATGAGGGTCTATGATGTTGACATCATGTATGGTGGTCTTCAGGAAGGAGGCGAGTGTGGGTGGACAGGGTCTGATGAGGGGAAGCGAGATACGTACCTGGTACATGGAAGAGGTCAGCTATGGTGTTGACGTCATGCACATTGGTCTTCAAAGTCGAAGTCAGCCTGTTGAGTGAATGTGGATGTAGTAGGGTAGGCAAGTAGTGTAGGCTGGGGGCTGAGCGCTGGGCGCCAGACAGAGAGGAGCGACATTGGATACTGTGTTGGTGTGGCCTGAGGGCTCGAACATTGGCTCATTAGTAGTCATTACTTCATTGTATTGCTCTTATTTGGATGGAATCTCGGTCTCGGTGCATTTGTGCTCTCTGCTTGTACACGACTACTTGGCTGGACATCTGTGTGATTTCGCAACTTGGCTTTCTGTATATCGTTCTCATGCATATTCCTTGCACTGAAATCAGTCTTGCAAATTCACACTCAAACATGCATGCAACAGGTGAGAATAACTTGGCGCTGTGCGCCCAACTCAAACTCGGAGATGTGGCAGCTYGCAACTCAACTCAAATCCAAGTTTACATCAGTTGACTATGGCGCTGGGCGCCCACACTTACACACCCGACTCAGAGTTCACACGCAACTCGACTCTGGATCACCCTGGATACCATGCACGCCAACCTCTGCACATACACATACACACTTACTGTCTATGGCTATGGCGCATGGCCACTAACAACTAACTAGCCTATCACTAACTTCTGCCCACTTCGTCTTCAGGCCATCTGCAGACCTCCCTTGCACAAGACGCCCGAGCAGCGCTTCCGCAGAGCTTCCGCAGGAATGAATGAATGGCTGGACGCAGCCTCTTGATTTATACTTCTGCGCAGCTCCGATTTGGCCTGTATTCTCTGGCCCCGGTACCCTTAGCCCCATATGGTACTTGCTGGACCGGACAGGGACTTTCTGGACACTTCCTCGACTGCACTACGACTCACCTAGGACTCACTGCAGTCCTACTGAGGTCCTACCAGTTGACTTCGACAGATGTCACAGTCCTACGGCGCAAGTAGACTTAGCTACACCACTTGCCCACTGGTCGACCTTCTAGAAGACCTCTGGACCCTACTTCGATTTTTGCCCTACAGGTCTGTGGTTCGAATCCCTTACTTCTCTGGTGCCTACGATGACCTACCTGCAAGTGGCTATCCTACAGGTCACAGGTTCAAGTCCTACATCTTCACAGGTATTGTACACAGGTAAGTTGGGGAACTAGGGATCGAGCCCTGGGACCTACATCAGCTACTTCGAACTGGGGAATACCGTTTCAGCACTACCGTCTTCACCCAAATAGAACGCCCGGTAATTATCGCCGTATCTGGGCGGAAAGTTGTGACAAATACAGCTACAATGACCGGGCGTTATATTCGGGTGAAGACGGTAGACTGAAAGTTGTGTGAAATACATCGTTCTCATGCATATTCCTTGCACTACTGTCTTCACCCGAATAGAACGCCCGGTAATTATCGCCGTATCTGGACGGAAAGTTGTGCCAAATACAGCTACAATGACCGGGCGTTATATTCGGGTGAAGACAGTAGACTGAAAGTTGTGTGAAATACATCGTTCTCACTCATATTCCTTGCACTAGACTGAAAGTTGTGTGAAATACATCGTTCTCACTCATATTCCTTGCACTAGACCGAAAGTTGTGTGAAATACATCGTTCTCACTCATATTCCTTGCACTAGACTGAAAGTTGTGTGAACTACGGGTGTTCTCGGGTGAAGAGGGTAGTTCAGAATGGGCTGACTGACGACAGTTCCAATATGCTCAGAAGGTGGATGGGCCCAGCGGCACTCAAGCAAGAAAATGATCGTAATAGCAGGATTCTGAGTCCAAGTCTGAATTTGGGGACTGGAACCAGGAGGACGTTGCTGGCTCCAGTCCAGGTCTGATTTTCAGAACCAGAGCCAGCAGGATTCCATTGGTCCTGGTCCAGAGTCTGATTTCCAGGACTGGGCCCAGCAGGTTGCTCCTGGTACCAGTGCACGTCAGGGCTGGAACCAGGAGGACGCTGCTGGCTCCAGTCCAGGTCTGAATTCGAGGGCTGCTGCCAACAGCTCCGAGACCAGCAGGTTGCTGCTGCCTCCAGTCCGGTTTGAACCAGCTTCGGTCCACCTCCGAACCAGCTTTGCTCCAGGTATGAACCAGCTTCGGTTCAGGTTTGAACCAGCTTGAGGAGATGCAGCAACCTGTTGCTTATGGTGATTGGCGAACGATGCATCAGACATGAACATACTGTAACAGGTCCATCAGCACATGGTTTTGCTAGACATAGTCACACTCCTTAGGCAGGCAACTGCTCTTGTTCTCTTGCGCTCTCTCTCTACATACACCTAACCGCATTGACAACCTAGAAATCCTGCCTTTTATTTCTCTTCCCGAACATGACCTTATGAGTGCGTCTGGATATCAGTTGCTGCACAACCAGGCTCCATGAGTGCGTTTGGATATCAGTTGCAACCTGGACAATGGGGCTTGCAAGCTTGGCCGGCCAGCGGACACTGGCCTGCGATGATGCCTGCGGCTATGCCAGTGGCGATCCCGGCGATGTCTGGTGCAGTGCCGTGGGTTAATCCTGCTGCGGGTAATCAGCCAGCGTCGGCGCTACCTCCGGCACAGAATGTGCTGCCTACTAATGACACTCGCCCTGGGAACTCAGGTGGAAAGGGACCGGCCGCTAATGCGTTTCCGGGACCTGGAAATAGAGACTACTTCACGAAAGAATATATGGATATCTTAGAGGATATCAAGTCTAATAAGGCAGTGGAGGTAGCCATGAAAAAGATCGCCGGCTCAAGGAGAGGTTAGATTCGCATAACGGAGCAGACGGATGATAGCTGCAGATCTGAAGTGCGGTCGACCAATAAGCCTGATGACATGAAAGCCTGGGTGACGTCGACGCTTGGGAATTCTTTAAAGCTGATTACTCAGAAGCTCGAGGAGGTTGACTCGAAATCCAAGCTGGCGACAACTGAGAAGGAGGAGCTAATCAGACTCAGAGCTGAGAAGGCTGCTATGGAGAAGGCGGAGAAGGTGAAGAAAGAATCTAGCAGTGAAAAGAGGAAGCGAGCGGTAGCCACCCCTGGTGCGGCAGTTACACCAATGGAGTGTGGTGCGAAGCCCCGATCCAGAAGGAGCTCAAAAGCACGGAACCGGCGAGTAGAAATCTCGTCAGACGACGAGGGGGGTGATGAAGGCGTGAAGCAAAATCTCGGCAAGAAGATGGAGAGTAGCAGTGATCTCTCGGAGGTTAAGAAGATGCTAGCTGCATTAGTCCAAGGACTGGCTGATCACAAAGGCAAGCAGCCTGTGAATGTGCCTGGACCGGAGCCAGAAGCGGAACCAGAACCAGAGCCGGAAGCTGAGGGCGATGAGGGCCATGATGTCGCTGTTAACTCAGCCCATGGTGATGAGGAGGAAGTGGATGAAGGTGGCCTAGCTGCCTATATGAAGGTGCGACAACATTTTTATGCATCCCTCCATTACACGAGGGTGCAGGAGCTGTGTAAGCAGAAAGACATTCCGTATTTTCGTAAAGAAATGGGCGCCTGGGTATTAGCAAGGCTTGATCTACAGGCATACGTAGATCAACTCAAAGTACACGGTGTTGTGAAGGTTGGTGAGTCCTCAAGGAGGACTGCAGTGCAGAATGGCAATAACACTGATGCTGAGGGTGATGGGACCGAGAATATGGTTGTGGGAAACTAACACTTGGTAGTCTTCGATCCTTAAGACGGGCAGCCCAGCGGATCGTGAAGTTGAAAGGGTTGGTAGATAGCAGCATTGGTATACTATTAGACAAAGTGCATGCCTTGATCATAATATTGGCATGTCTTCGGGGTGATATTGCCTGGGGTAGAGTCTACCTGCCACCGTGGTTGCGCATGACACCTGAAGAGTGGGATAACTTATCGTGTGCCAAATGTTGTGTCTACGCGGTGTTTTCCTTGGATCACAAGTTGGTGTATGTTGGGAAAACAGTGCGGTCCTTGCAAGAGCGATGGGGGGAGCACTGTCGGGCCGTCAAAGGTGATAGCAAGCAACGCTTGCACACATGGCTGCGAAAGACTGGAGTTGGGCACTATGTGCCGATTCCGATCTGGTTTGGTGAAGTGCTGGCAGTTGAAGGCATGGAGCCAAAGATAATTAAGAGTCACAACCCTGGGTTGAATAGTAAAGGGTGTAGACAGAAGGTGAAGTCTCGAAGGAGCCGGGGAAGGAAGAAGGCGGCGTGTGAGAGGCCTCCCCTGAGTGTGACTCTTGAACCTGTGTTTTTTTATTGCCCCGATGCGGGTGTATCGCAGGAACCAGATCTCCTAAGGATTTTTAAACTCCTTGTTAAACGGAAGAAGAAGAAGAATGTGCACATTTTGAATAACCCAGGGTGTCGTTGGCTTAAGGCTTGGAGACTGGTGTCACTATTATTTGGGTTCTCTAAAGTCGAATGTCACGGTATCAAGGCATTGTTGAAGGATGCTAAACATCTGATAGAGGGAGGTGGATGCTGGGTTGCCACGGAACTGTTGCAAACTAGAATTAAGACTGAGGTCACGAAGGCTCATCTGATTGCGTTGCTTAGAGCCCCTTGGAAAAGGAAAGATTTGTATAACTGCACGTTGGAGGAATTGATTGTCTTCAACAATGGTGTGAAAACAATTAACCAGCCACGGGGAAGGCAGATTGTGCGTGGAATACTGACTAACGTTCTAAAACGGAAGTTCGGTGTGAACCCGCGTCTAAATGTGACTGTAAAAATTCCATTCTGTACAACTGTGCATAAGTGTAAAGTTGTTGAGGTTGTTAAAAAGTGGATTAGGGAGGAAGTTCGTCCGGTGTCGCTGGCTGAGCTGTATGCTAAAAGGACTAAGGTTGTGTGGCTGAAAGCTCACACAATTGGGGACCTGTTGCATAATAAGGTTGTGTGGCTGAAAGCTCACACAATTGGGGACCTGTTGCATAATAAGAAACTGTTTGCACAAGCGCAGAGCTTCGAATGTGCCTGTGCAGGTTTCAAACTGCCCAAGTTGAATGGGCATGTCGCAGCTAAGCTTAATGAGATTGATGGCATCCAACCTTTTCTCCTTAATGCTAAGAACGTTCCATTCCCGGACTCCTTGTTAACTAAAGGAGTATTAAATCGAGCTTGTAATACCGCGCTCGATGGATTACGGAAAACCGGGGTGGTTTCCAGTGTCTTTCGGCTTGATTGGTTGGCGGTCTGCAGGCCCGGACGACCAAGGCCGGAAGGCTGCAGTCTCAGTGAGTATGTGGATGGGATTGGACAGTCCTTCGCGGGTCTTGTCCTGTCTCCGCTGGATAGAAACACGAGTGAGACTTGGATTGAGTGCCCAAAGCTGTACGAGGCGGGCCTCAATAAGATGTTTCTTGAGAACGTGAATTATGAACTGGTTCGTAAGGCCAGTAATGAAGTGGTTTGTGAGATGCGTGAACGGTATTATCAGGGTAAATTTGATAAGGTGGCTCGATGGGATAAAAAAGGAAGCTTGCAGCATGCGTACATTATTTCGAAAGAGAAAGATAAGCTGAGGAAGCGCCCCATCGTACCATCGTTTGCAAGCCCATACCAATCTGCTTCCGGTATTCTCTCAACGGCTCTTAATGAGTTGATCAAGAAGGGTAAGTTTTCACATTTTAATTTGCGCACCATCGAGGAGTTGCAAGGGGAAGTCAGGAAGATCAATGAGCAGGGGAGTCGATTGGGAGAGGGGGTCCTTGGGTTTGAAGCAAGGACGTATGATATTAAGGAAATGTTTCCACAACTGCCCCATGAAGAGATCTACCTAGCAGTCCGGTGGATAGTTGAAGTTTTCCACCAATCCGGGATTCGGTGGATAAGGATTAACAGTCGTAAGAAACAGGCGACGTTTGGGAAGTCTCACGGGGAGGCAGGCTGGACGTCAGTCCGTCTCAGTAAACTATGTGAGCTAGCCAAATTCCAGCTTGAGAACACTTTCTTCCTAATCTCTGGGATTGTGTTGAAACAGAGAAATGGGATTCCAATGGGGGGCAGGGCTAGCCCGCCGTTGGCATGCGTAATGTGTATGCGAGCGGAGCACCAGTTTTTAAGTTCCCTTGGAACGGACGCTAAGTACATTTTTGGTAAGAGGTATATTGATGATCTGCTGATCGTGTCACTTTTCAAGAAAGCGGACCCAGATGGGCGCAAGGTTGCAAAAGAACGCCTGGACCTCATCTCGGAATGCTACCCCAATGGGTTGGTACTTGAGCGAACGGACTTCGGCAATGGAGTCCTGGACTTCTTGGATACGAGACTGGTCATTGCTGATGAATCAACGATCCTGATGTCGCACAAATTCAAGAACGACGATACGATCTGGAGCAATGTACCGCTGCGGTTTAGGACGTACAAAGACCTGACATCGTTTGGGCCACGGATGGCTAAGTTTGCTATTGTTGCAAACACAATTCTTCGGATTTCGAACAACTCGAATGACTTGGGGATTACTACTCTGAATATCCTTACTTTGGTGGAGGAGTTAAAAAAGTCCCGGTACCCAGGCATGGTCATCTTTGCGGGGCTCCGATGGATGGCACACCGCACGACGGAAACGTTTTGGGATACAATGGCTCAAATGGTGAGCAACTGGCTCCAAGGAACGAGACGCAGTCTCGATACTGTAGGGATGCCCGGATAAGTTTAACGCAGGGTGATATTGACTGAGCACGCGAATCCGCAGTAGGTTTGTCGGGTACGATGAGCCTCAACATCCATATGGTGAGAGTCTGATGTGGGCTTGAAGTGGAACGCGCGCGAAAATCGTGGCGAGCGAACCTGGACGTAAGGCAAGCAGAATATTGGCGGTTACTGCCCTAGTGTGCCAGGAGGGTTGGGTTTGGCCGACGGCATCCAACGGTATTGGCACGTCGGCATGTGTTGTATGCTGTATGCGTTGCTTGTGTTGCCTAGTCATATATTATTTCGTATGTTTTTCATATTCTGTTTTATTTTATTTTTATTTTTATTTTATTTTATTTTATTCTATTTTATGCAGAGTGGATTTTATTCATGTTGTTATTTTATTTTACTTTTAAGTTTTAATTTTATTTTATTTTATTAAAGTTTTTTCCGGTTTGCCCTCGGCGTTTAGTACTGTGAAAAGACTTTGTCTACGGTGTAGTGCAGGGCGGCAATGCATGCTGAACCGAGGTGAGCTATGATACTCCGAACTGAGGGTTGCAGAGGTATCAGAGGTATCGAAGGAAGGGGGGAATTCATGCGTAGTGACCGAGGCGAGTACCTATAGAGGTGCTTGCTTCAGTATTTAAGAAGAGTAGTGGTAGAGGTTATCCTCAACTTGAGTGGCGTATGAGTAGAAGGGTTGAGTGTAGTCCTTGACGGTGTAGAATCAGGGACTGTTGGAAGGAGGTGATGACGCCATGATATTAAAACTCACATCATCTTTTTCTTTGGTTTCCATGACTTTGTTTATGTCTCTTATGACCTTATGAGGCTTATGGTCAGTCTCCTTACAGTTCCTATTCTGCAAATCGGCTCTTTCTTTTTTCCATATCAGTCAGTTCCTATATTGCTTCCTTCTGACACTCGTTCATTCACTGTCTGCAGCATCTGTTCCAGCAGCTAGTCAGAGAGAGAGAGAGAGAGAGAGAGAGAGAGAGAGAGAGAGAGAGAGAGAGAGAGAGAGAGAGAGAGAGAGAGAGAGAGAGAGAGAGAGA